TGACGAGCCTCTCTTCGCAGGGCTGTACTGGCGGATCTGGCACATGGACCTGGTGCAGTCCGCGGTGCTGTACAGCGTCATGACCCTGGTCAGCACCTACCTGGTGGCCTTCGCTTACAAGAACGTCAAGTTCGTCCTCAAGCACAAGTAAGTGGCTGCGGGAGTTTGGGCGGGCAGGGCCAGGCCAGGGCAGCCCCTGCCGGGAGAAGCAGATTAGGGGAGTGGAGCTGGAGCTAAGCCACCCTGCCCATGCGCTTGTACCAATTGCTGCAGGCCTGAACCTCGCAGAGCTTGAGGCACCTCTATGTTGCGGATTTGAATTGAGCAGCCCCCAAATTAACCTGCTTATTAAAGGGGCAGCTGCTTGCAGAGCAGCGCCACGGTGGGGTGGAGCCCAAATTGCTCTGCTGTTGTCTGCTTTTCTCCTTGTGCTGCTGCAGCTCCCTTCAGAGCAGCCCAGGGCGCCTCAGCCCCAGCTCCAGCTCCCCTGCACGAGACTCACTGATGCAATGTTACTTCCATGTAAGTGGGCAGCCCCTGGGTGAAAGTGCCTGATGCCACTGTGCTGCTGACACCACCTGCGCGGCAGCACTGACTGAAGGGCTTATGGGGAATCCAGTAAGGCAGAGGCTCTTGAGGGCCAGTCCCCACTCCTGGTGCTGCTTGAGGTTTAGCAAGAGGTGGCTCAGCAAACCTCTGCTGTGCCAAAGCTCAGTATAGATCTGAATTGAAAGAGCCCTTGGTTTTGGCGGGGTGGAGTTGACTTGGGTTTGGAGCTGCTTTTCGGTGCCTTCCCATTCTCTGGTTGGCCATTGAATTGCCCTTGATTCTTGACTAAATTGATCTTTTAAATACCCACGTCTACCTTTCAGCTAGTGAGTTCCTGACTGGAGTCCAACTGTCAGCTCCCTTTTTAGATTTTCTTACAGTTTTAATTTACATATTTGAGTGGTTTTCACTAGGGGTATCGAACTCACCTGCATCCCTGGGCCAGTTGCAGATGGTAGGGCTCCTCATGAGTCAGATCCAACCTGGGGCATGGGTAGCAGAAGCAAGGAATCTAGCAAGTGGGGACCAGAGGCAGCGTTTTTCTTGGGGAGGGGTCTGGGGGCAGTGGCAGCCAGTGAGCCAAGCTCACCACTGATGGCCATGGCCTGCAGGGCTGAAGGGCCCTGAATTCTGTGACAGGCCACACCCTGCAAAGTCTGGTAGCCATGCAGGCCTTTGTTTGACACCCCTCATTTACACTATGCAGCAATACAGAAACATGGATTAGTTTAGAAATGAGCACATTCAGCTAAATGGATAACTGCTGCCTCAAAAGCCTGTTGTAACAGCAAAGACTGTAGGGGGTTGCGGGGCCTGGGGCAAATCAGCCTGTGCAAGGCCCCTTTAACACTGTGAGGGGTGGGGTCACAGCCGCTCTGCCTGGCTCTGGGGGGCCTGGGATGGTCACCCTGATTTGTCTCCTCTCCCTCAAGACAGCCATGTGTAACAGTATATACATTGTTTTTAAAGTTGTTGCCTATGAGACATGAGATCACAGGAACTTAAATTGGAAGGCAGGAAATGTTTGCCTGTTTGACAGCCATTTGACCAAATGTTTTCACTTGCTTTTATATTCCACTTACTTTATTTTCTTCTGTTTTAATTATGATGTGAATGCATTCCTTGCATTTCCTTGCAGAGTAGCCCAGAAAAGAGAAGATGCTGTTTCCAAAGAAGTTACCCGCAAGCTTTCTGAGGCAGACAATAGGAAGATGTCTCGAAAGGAGAAAGATGAGAGGTAATCTTTGATTCTCGTTATAATGTTTTATGATGCATTCAAGGTTCATGTTAGAATATTACACGCTGTCTCTTGCTTTGTGACTTGCCAAGCCAAGGGTGGCCAACCCGCAGCTCTGGAGCCACATACGACTCTTCAGAAGTTAATATGCATCTCCTTGAATCTTTGCACAAGCACACAGTGACCAGCTTCCATATTAACTTTTGAAGAGCTGCATGTAGCCCCGGAGCCACAGGTTGACCATCCCTGTGCCAAGCCATTTGCAGTCAATGAGAGTTTATAGGTGAATACAAAAAGCCCGCAGTGAGGTTTTACTGAGTTGAGGTACAGTTGTAAACTGAAACTCTACTCGGTATGTTACTATACTATATGCAGCATTGGTACTAATTATCACCACAAGCTGTGTGTCCTTGAATGAAGGGAAAAAAGCCAAACCCAACATAAGGCAAAAATGAAGCTTCATAATAGCTTTCCTAAAATTAAGTCTGAAGAATCCATTAAAAAGTATTAGGGGTGCACCAATAAAGATTTTTTTTTGGCCAGTATGGCTGACTATTAACCAGCCATATTGGCCGATACCAATATGATAGCTGATTTATAGGATTGCATCCCCACAGCTTAGAGAGCAGCATCTGGCTGGTAAGTCTGTGGCGGGGGAAGGGATGTGGGGGAGGGAAGGCACATGGGGAGGGCAGATTGAGGCCCTGACGGTGAAGGAGGGAGTGGGGCAGGGGTAGGCACTGCCCAGGCAGGGCGGTGAATGTGACCCTGGGGCCGGGGTCACATTCGGCCTCTCCCATGCCCCCCCTGCCAACTTATTGGCCAGACGCTGCTCTCCAAGCTGTTGGCCTGCATTCCTAGCCGTATGCACGCGGCATTTATTGGTGACATTATTGGCTACACTGGCACAAAAAAGCCAATTGCTGATAATGTTAATTTTCCTTTTATTGGCGCCAAGGTGACCGATATACTGGTGCACCTGTAAAAAACAAAAACAAACAAACAAAAACCCCCAAAATGATGCAGAGCAGCTGTTATTGAGAAATAGTGATGATTAAGGGTCTTTAAGCATAAATAGCTAGTGGCTCTCAATTTTTATTTAATGCCTAAATATTTTGGTGATGTGTGTATCGGTATTTTATTGCTAGATTAAAAACAGCATTAATACTAATGACTCTTTGGAAGTGTAGAGTACCTCTGAAAATCAAGCCATTTATTAAAAGAACAAGAGCCCTTAAACCTTGCCAGCCATACCGATACCACTTGACAAATAACATACAACATATCTTCAGGGTATGACCTACATGTTAGAAAAGCCTGATTGTAGCGTACAGGAATAGGTTTTGTATTTCTTCAAATAATTTGAGCACTTTGAACTCAGAGTAGCAGCTTGTAGTTAGTTAGGGTTGGCATGCCAGCGTAGATTAAATATTACTTGAGAGGTATCATAAACATGCTTAACACCACAGTTGGCTTATTTTTCAGTGCCCAGGAATATGTTGCCATTTTGGCTTTTAGAAGCCCAGCACCCCATTTATGAGAATCTGTCTTTTAGTGAGAGATTTCCCAGCTCTTTTTTTTTTTTTTTACTGGCACCGTATAAGGAATGGTCCTTTTGTGAAAGGGTACTGCAACAGTGGTGTGTTTGTTCAGATTTGCATGAATCAGGAAATGTTTTAAGACTCTGATTATATTTATGTATAGAATTCTGTGGAAGAAAAATGAAGTTGCAGATTATGAAGCGACAACATTTTCCATCTTCTACAACAACACTCTCTTTCTGGTCTTGGTCATCATTGCTTCATTTTTTGTGCTGAAGAACTTCAACCCCACTGTGTATCCTTTACTATTTCATAAAAACATTTTGAAAACTGCTCCCATAAGCCTTTCCTTGATAGTCATGTAGTTTCCTAATTGTTTGAAGGTTTATTTGATTGCGTGTAGAGTTGACTATACTTCTCTTTGCTGACTTTGGGACATTAGATAAGAATATCAAGCAGAGCATACCAAGGCACCTCCCCATTGTACTTGCATGTGGCTTTGGAAGTTTCAGAGGTATTGTGAAGAAGGATGGTATAGAGAAACTGTCTGGGTATTGACAATTCAATTAAATGCAACTATTTGTAAAATAACAAGAGGCAACTAACATTTATACAGAATTGTCTTAGTGCCAGGAATTTTTGGGTTTAGTTTTTATTTCAAAATAGTCTCTGTCTTTAAGCCTTCTTTAGGCCATGGTATTTGTAGTATGTATCCTAAAATTCCCATCCAGCTAAACACCACTTCATGTGCTGCTTTTCAAGTTACTACTGAATGTTTACTTCAAAAGTATTTTGTTTTGGCATTTACAGAAGTTTAAATCCTTAACATGTTCCCTACAGAAACTACATTCTGTCTATAAGTGCATCATCTGGACTGATCGCTCTGCTGTCTACAGGATCCAAGTAGACAAAACAGTGATTAGATGTTTGTACCTGTGGGTGGGTTCAGTTTTGTTGCAAAGACTTGAAAGCAGGAATATAAACATTTGCTTATAGGCTGAAAACTTAAGAGATTTTTACAGCACAGTGTAAAGTGAATGTCAAAAATATTTTTGTTCTCTTAAGATGTTCTGATGGATAGTTGGAGTGGATCAGACTTTTTTTGATTAGCAGAAAAAAGAGCATATAAGACATTTAATAAACTGAACTCCTTTGAAACACTGTTATCACAATTGGGGTGACTGTCTAATGTTTGGAGTTTCAATAAACCCAATTGGGCTACACAGAATAGCAGAGTGAATGTTCTGCTCCAAATAAACAACAGATTCTCTTTCAAATGACTGTTTCTGTACAAGAGCTTCCCTTCACTTAGAAAAAAGTTACAAATCTCCCACTTTATAATTTGAAAGGTTTTAATAAAAATGAAAAGAACATCCTGATTGTAGTGGCCTCTACTCTTGATGCTATAAACTTCAGGAAGCACAGGGGGCTTCAAGTGGCAAAATGTTAGCAGGGCCTAGTATTTTGTGCAAGCCTCCCTTTTCCTGTGGAATTGTGTGTTTGAGTAAAAAGTTACACTCTGGTTTAAATCAGTTCCTCATTTTATCAAACAACCTTGATATAAAACAGAGTTCAAATTCTATTGGCAAACATTCTGAAACAGCTGCAAATATCAATTATTCCATTTATCTCCAAGAAATTCTGGAATCCCAGAAAGATGGCTGATTTACAGGTCAACATTGAGACCATTCTGCTGTCCCCTGGCGATGCATAGGGGGTGCATGTGCACCCCCTGAGCATGGCAGTGCAACCCCTACAAAAAGGCGCTGTTGACACTGTCGGCAGTGTCTGTGGGCAATTGCTGCTCGCTACCCCCCGCTGCCGACACCGCCAGCAGCGTCTATGGGCAGTGAGTGGTCACTGCTGGCTGCCACTGCCAGTGGTGTCTGCAGGTGATTGCCAACCTTTGGTTGGTGCTCACCACCCCCCCCCACCCTCTTCCCACTGCCATAGTCCGCTGTGGGCCCCCCCCGCCCAGCTGCCGGGGGTATGCATCGTTCATGCTTCTATTTTTCACTTTAGTTGGATTTTCTTGCTAGTTTGCTAATTGACAGCTTCAGACAGTTCTTTTCTTCCCACAGCAAAAAAACTCTTCATGCCAAAACTTACAGCTATCATAATTAGGATGTTGCTAACCCTAAAAGTGTGCATAGGGAAAGGCTATAATAGAGCACGTATAATGCTGAAATAAGAAATGGGGTACTGAACTGAACATTTGTAAACATATTTAATATACGGCTGTGTGAAATTTTGCTGGCAGTTTTGTTTCAACATTGTTTCAACTTGTTTTGAGCTTGAAACAGCAAAATAGAAACGAAACAAAGCTTCTAAACAACCTTGAAATGAGGCAAGTTGAAACGTTTCAAAAATTTTGAAACGTTTTGAGTTTCAAAGCTCAAGCGGGGTTTACCTGCAGGGAAACAGAAACTAAAGTAAGGGGGAGGGGGGGGGAGGAGGGCTCTCATTATTGACTGTGTAGTTGGCCAGTGACTCATCCTTTCCTGAGGTCCCTTCCGATCCCAGTGCTCTGGGGGAAGGATGGAAAAACTGCAAAGGCAGCAGCATTGTTTGAAATGCCCTGCTTCCTGCCTTGGTGTCAGTTGAGGGAGGATGCACCTTAACACAGACACACACACTGTCACCCACCCATGTCATGAGTTTTGCCTGTCAGCAGCTAGAAGTGCAGGGCCCCAGAACCCCTGCACCTATCTCCTTGACAGCTGGCAGGCTTCTTGGCTGCAGCAGGGCCTAGCAGGCCTGCAGTTTTAACCCCCCTGTGCCCCAAGACAGACCCAGTCCCACAAGCACCCATGTCACGAGTTTTGCCTGTCAGCAGCTGGAGGTGCAGGGCCCCAGAACCCCTGCACCTATCTCCTTGAAAGCTGGCAGGCTTCGTTGCCTCAGCAGGGCCTAGCAAGCCTGCAATTTTGACCCTGCTGTGGCTTAACACATACACGTGACATGAGATGTTTGCTTTCAAGACTTTGAGGTGCAGTTTCCCTGAAACCCCTGCACCTATCTCCTTGAAACTTGGCAGGCTTTGTGCCCTCAGAAGGGGCTACCATTCCTGTAAGTTTCATCCAAATCAGGCCAGAAATGACAAAGTTATAGGCTGTTTTGAGCTTCCCCATTATAGCTTATGGGCGAAACGTTGAAACTTTTGACTAAATGAAATGGAACAGCGGTTTCAAATCGAAACGCTGTTCCATCAAAACAGAACAGTGCCATTTTGCACATCCCTAATATTTAACATTAATATTTATAATTTATTAAACTGAAGTGCCTGCAGATGCAGAGCTTCCAGCATGCAGTCTGAGAGTGATGCATGTTCTTGGTCTGGCTTCTTTACAACATGCTAGTTTTGCTTCAAGTTTTATAAGGAAAAACTACAACCTTCACAGTGGGAAAGTTTGCAGAACAGCGGGGGGGTTGCTTTCATGTACAAATAGTGGAAATGGTGTAAAAAAGTATCCCTAGGTAGCTTGCAGCATTTTACCCCTTGTCTCTCATAATCCTGTGTCACCGGAAAACTGGTAGGCAACAGGTATTTGATTTAGATTTGGCCGATTTCGGAGGGACAGTGATTCATTTTGGTGATTTGAATCACTGTCCCGATTCGATTCGGATCCAGAGATTTGGCGCTGATTGGGAGATTCGGCCATAGACTATACGGGCAGCAGTCCTCGACTGGACATAGCTGCCTCCAGCTGGTAAGCCTACTGTGGTGGGCTGTGGGGGGACTGAAGGGGCACCGGGGGTGGGGGGTGCAGATCAATGCCCCCACAGCAAGGGAGGGATTGGTGCTGGGACAAGCTGCCCAGCCAGGGCAGGGGGCGTGGGACTTGGGGAGGGGGATTCCTGCCACTGAGTACTGCTGGTCTGGAAGCTGTTCTTTTGGTGGCTCTTGCCACTGGTCCAGGAGGGCATGGGAGCAGGCATGTGCCCCCAGATCTGCATGGGGTAGGCTGGGCCGGGCTGTGCTCCAGACAGGTGGTGGAGGGCGCTGCAAGTAAGGGCTATGCCCTCCTGCCACTCATGCAGCGGGGGCGGGGAGGTGCGGGATGGTGCCGCTGTGCTACCTTGGACAAGTGGCATGCAGCGACGGAAGCTGCTCCAGCCTCCCCATGCCTCCCAGACAAGCTGCAGCTTTGCCCTACCGTACCCTAACTGGGCAGCAGGGCATGGGGGCAGACGCATGTACCCAGATTGGGGCAGGGCCGGCAGCAGGGGCTATGGGGAATTTTAGGGTGGCTGCAGCCTCCCCATAATCCCTGCTCCACTGCACTCTGCAGGGCGGGTAGAGCCAGGGCTGTGTTCTGGGCTGTGGCTGGGGCTAGCTGCCCGGAACGCATCCCTGGCTCCACCTGCCCCATGGAGCGCAGCCCTGGCTCCACCTGCCCCGTGCAGTGCAGCCCTTCTGGCAGGCAGCTAAGGCTAGTTGCCTGAAGCACAGCTTGGCTCAGCTCACCCTGTGCAGATCTGGGGGCACACTCCCGCTTCCAAGTCCCCCTGGACCAGCGGAAGAATGGAGGAGCCACCGGAAGAATGGCTCCTGGACAAGTGGCGTGCAGTGGCAGGAGCCCCCCTCCCTGAGTCCTGCTCCCCACCTCCCCAGCTAGGCAGCTTGTTCCAGCCCTAGCCCCAACCCAATCCCTCCCTCGCTGTGGGGTCACTGATGTGCCGCCCCCGCCGCCGTGCCCCTTTCCTCCCTTTTCCGCCCATCGCAACAGACTTACCAGCTAGAGGCAGCTGTGGCCAGCGTTGAGGACTGCTGCCTGTTTAGTCTATGGCTGAATCTCCGAATCTCTGAATTGATTCAGAGGCATCTGAATCTGTTCAGACCTTTTAATGGGTCTTCTGATTCCGTTCGGATTTGGAGATTCGGCGGCCAAATAGGGCCGAATCTCCTCTGAATCGAACTGGCAAATGAAGCTTCGCACAGCCCTAGTAGGCTTATGTCAAGGCAGATGCTGCTTGTTCTTTTTGTACAGTGCCTAGGCCGTAGGACAATGGGTTCTATTTTTGGTTTCTTCCCAAATACCACAGGAATACAGTCAAATATGATTTGAGCCAAGGATGAGCCCAAACTCCCACCTCATATTCCTGCTTTTATTTTAAAATAGTTGAACACTTGATTTATAGTTAAAGGCTAAGAGAGCTTCCAACCCATACCTAAAGGTACTCAAGAAGTTCTACAAGAACCAGGGGAAACCATGCCAGATATGTAAGTTATATATAATTGAAACTTCATGAATTTTTTTTTTTCCTTGTATATGGAACGCTCCTTTTTTTCCCATGTATAGATCACTTGCACTCTATACAAATGTGTAAACACTCTGTTTTAACTCATCAGTTTTTTTGGGGGGGGGGTCAAAAGCTTTCCTGCTGTAACTCAGACTTGCTTCAACCAGGCACAGTGAACTAAAGTTGTACAGAAGCCAGACTTCTATGTCAAGAGGCCAAAGCCTCTCTCAGCTTGCAGAGACAATTTGGAGTAAAGTCACTGGCATCTTAGCAGGAGCTCTGCTTGTCCTCTCTGGGATCATTCTGTTGTGCGTAGAAGTAATTTATAGGTGCAAGTTCACTAAAAGACTTCTCTCCAGTAGTTTATCACTGTGATCATTAACTTGGGGAAGACATGATTTGCAAAGTGGTGGGGGGTTTCCTAATGAATTCAGTCCTTGATTTTAGAACTGCCTAATATTACATCATTTAGGAATTTATCAGTCTTAAAATCAGCTCTCATGCCTGTCTAATGCTCCAGTTACTGGAGTGAAAGTCAAATGGAAGCACAAGAATTATCCCAGAAGTTCTAATTGTGAAATAAATATCTTTTTAATAGAGTTAGTTGATTTTATCTCTTCAGAAAGGAACAAAATTTTTACAAGTCTGTGGTAGGGAGAAGAGAAGTAAAACAGTCAGTACAAATTCAATCCCTCAAGTGGTCCCCAGTCCATCAAATGCTACAGCACATGGGTAGTCCTACTGACTAATAACGCTCAGTGTCAACATACACAAATGCTCCAGGAGCAGGGCCTCACTTTCATCCCCTTAGAAAGTTGTATGTATATTTCTGTACAGGGCAGATTCCTAATAAAAGCAAGCCAGAGCAGCTCTTTCATAGTCTGTTACTGCCAGCTCATTGAATCTTTTTAATAATCTCTCTTTGCTTTAGCTTAGTTTTTTCATATATATATATATTGACAGGTCCTGAGGCCTGAAGCCCATTATTTTCTTTTTCTTTTGCTAGCCAATGTCACACGATAAAAAGCCTGAAAAAACATTTGAAGCTAAAAGAAAGAAAAAGCCTTTTTTATGAAGTTTAAAGAAATAATTTTATCCAAACCTGTCCTGCTTGCATAATCAAGGTTCTCC